TGGCCCAGCTCCTCCCCGAGCCCCTTCTGGAGCTCCACATGTCCCCACCATGTCCCCTCCCGGAGTGGGACAAGGGACCATCCCTTCCCCACCCTCTCACCATCTGCAGCGCAATGCCCGAGGCCACGCCACCAGCCATGCTGAAGGCAGCGGGGAAGTTGAGCAGCCCAGCCCCGAGGGCAGCGTTGACCACGATGAAGACGGCTCCCAAAGCCGACGTGGCTCCCAGACCGTTTCCTTGGCTCTCGCCGCTCTTCGGCACCGTCTCCACGCTGGGGCTCTGCAGGAGCCTGGCCCGTTCCCCGGCGTCGGCACTCCACTCCCAATCCTTGTAGTCGCTGTTGATGCTCCCGGTGCCCTGAGCCATCGTCCCTCCTGGGGTGGCACACGCCACCAGCCACGTCCCACTAACGTTCCCGCACCGGGCTCAGCCGGCTGCCTCGAGGAGGGTCCCCTGGCAGCGCTGGCTCCATCAGGCAGGGAGGGCAGTGAACGGGCAGGCCGGGACCGCAGCAGCGCGGGGGTCAGGCACGTGAACGCTCCTAGAAGGGGATGGAGAAGGACATGGTAAGTATTAATTAAGGTACATTAACAAGGGACAACCTGGGCGTTAGACAGAGGCAGAGGAAACGAGTTCCCTGGGTCTCAACTCGAGGGTCACAGCACACAGGTGACCTCACGCCAGCTGAGAAGTCAGGAGAACTCACCTCTCGTCCCCTGAATGCAGGGTGAGGACACCGCTGCTGTCGGACAGGGGCCTGAGCCCCAGCCGTGGGGCTGGGGAGCTGCAGCCTAAGGGCAGGGCTCGCCTTTCTGTGGGCACGAGACTCAGCGTCACGGCTCGCTTCCTGATCTCCAACCCCGATTCCTGCAAGCTCTGCAAGAGCCGCTGTGCACACGCTCCCGGGGAAAGGTCAAGGCTGGGCTCAACGGCAACAACCCGTGCACGCAGCAGGAACACCGTGTCCCCAGGAAAAGCAGGACCGGCCCCTTGCAGCGCACCCCCGGGGTGACCACCGGCACGAGATGTCTCAGAAGCTTTTGGAGCTGAAGACCTGGTGTTTCCAGCACGGCAGCCCTTGGGGCTTGGACAGCCCAGATCCCATCCCGATGCCTCTGAGCTGAAGGAGATCAACCCTCCCAATCTGGCAGGGCTTCGCAGGGACCTACACA